TTTCAAATATTTTTATTGGTAAGAAACATGTATCTCATGGGGCCTCCCCTGGCGGCTCAGCGGTTGAGCGCTGGGCTGTGAAGCTGCCCGCAGCCTCTGCAGCAACCGTTGGATCCCCAGCCGCTGGGGAGGCTCCCACATGATGCACAGACCTCTTCCGCCGTGAACTGCTCCGCTCAGCAGTGTATTTCGCCAGTCTGCCTGTTTTGTTCCCTGCTCTGGCTCTGGTGAATTCTCATCCTCCCACGCTTCTGACTGTACCCAGTGCTTGCATAAATTAAAAAAAAAAAATCTTAAAAAAAAAAAGAAACATGTATCTCAGGCTATACTTTTTTTAAAGAAAGATTTATTTATTTATGCATACAAGAACTAGGGTGCAGGCCAGAGGTGTGGGGGGTGAGAGGATGCACCAGAGACAGAGTGGGGAGCAGAACAGGAAGACTGACTGAAATACACTGCAGAGGGGAGCAGCAGGCAAGAAAGGAAAGGTGGGCTGCACCATGTGGGTAGTTCCCTGGCTGGGGATGGAAGTGTGCTCCAGTGACAGCGGATAGCTTCATAGTGCTGCAGCTTAACCACTTGCGCCACCAGGGAGGCCCCTCAGACTATATTTTAATACCTGAATCTCTGTTGACTGCCCCCTTCCTCTCCTGCTGTTTTCCTAACTGCATAGTTAGCGTTATTAATGGGTATATGGAAATGGCATTCTGGCTTTTTTTTTTAAGATTTTATTTATTTATACAAGAACTGGGGTACAGGTCAGAGATGCAGGAGGGTGAGAGAATTCACCAGAGACAGAGTGGGAAGCAGAACAGGCAGACGGACCAAAGACACTGCTGAGTGGAGCAGTAGGAGCGACAGGAGAGGTCTGCCATGCCATATGGGATTTTCCCTGGCTGGTCAGGAATCGAACTCGCGCCGCAGAAGCTGCGGACAGCTTCACAGCACAGTGCTCAACCTGCTGCGCCACCAGGGAGGCCCCATTCTGGCTATCTAAAGAGTAATATTTTCTTTGGGGGATAAACTGTGGGTTTTTATAAGCTGGCCACTCATGGGTAACTGTGAACTATTTGCTATCTGCAAATCACAGCAGAGCATTCCATGACTACCTGCAGACAATAGCCTGTATCAAAAGGCAGGCCCAGGGAAGCCTAGGCCACTGTGGACCTGATTACATGACAAAGGCCATGGTGGTCTCAGGATAACTCTGCCTGTGATCACATCAGCATATATATTTTGCCGATGCAACTATTTCTTGACGTATGTTCATGACGTCCCCTTTTCTGTTCGTAAAACTTTACCCCACTTCGCCCCCAGACCTTGCACCTCATACCATTGTGGCATGATCAGCCTTTACTAGCCTGTATGCTTTCAATAAATAGCACTTCCACTCGAGTAGCAGATTCTTGCCTTGCTAACCTGCTCCATGGCTGTTGCATTCCTCATTGTAGTCCCTCTGCAAAGTGGCAAGAAAATTCTTGTCACAACAACAAACTCTGAAACAGAGGAACCAAAACACATCCTCCATGCTATCATGTGAATATAAAAAAATCACTAATAGAGATTTTCATTCCAATGACCTTAAAATATAAATATTATATTCACACATGTATATTACATATACATTTATATAAATATTTGAATATTATACATATACACAGACTTTCTCCCCAGATTTTTATTACTGTTAATTGCCATTGGTTTATACTATTTTTTAATTTTGTATTTTTTGGGGTCTTGATAGGTATTTTTATAAGGGAAGGGGTTGCAATAACTAGACATACACTATTTTAATTTTAATGTTTTTAATTAATGAATTTTTTATTAATAAAGTGCCTTCATTTTACATCTTTATTAATATTTTGAAAATAAAAGATTTCTCCCCTCAGGTGTGGTCACCATAGTATCTTTCCATACTACTTTACACCAGAAAATTCCTGCTACTTACATTTTGTAAAATTACTACCAAAATTTTGTAAAATCTGGATGTTTAACTCTTAAAACAGTTCAGAGAGAAACAGTTTTCAGATAGACCTGTGAGGCATGGCAACATAAATAAGTCTATGAATTAAGTTATTATTTCCCCTGTAAGCAAGAAAATTATTCCTAAAATATATGTTCAATGTAATAGCTATTTTTCAAGGCCCACTATCTTTAATTAATAAAGAAAATATTACTTTCTCAGTGAAAGCTTTTGAAACTGCTGACAAGGCGAGGTAGGGAAAGCATGGGAGAAATAAAAATGAGTACACTGGGGCCTCCCTGGTGGCACAGGGGTTAAGACGCAATCTATGAAGCTGTCCACAGCCACTGTAGCATGAGTTTGATCCCTGGCCAGAGAGCTACCTACTTGGCACAGCAGACCTCTCCTGACTTGCCTGCTGCTCCCCTCAGCAGTATATTTCAGTTAATCTGCCTATTCTATTCCCCACTGTCTCTGGTGAATCCTCTCATCCACCATACCTCTGGCCTGTACCCCAGCTCTTGTATGCATAAATAAATAAATCTTTAAAAAACAAACAAAAAAATGAGTGCACCGGCTGGAGAGGAATACAATCTAGCCCCATGAAGATGCAAATAATAAGCTGTGTAAAATGAAACTATTTTATCTTTTCATCTTTTGGAACTATTTCTTATTCCCACATTTTAAAACATTGAACTGAATAAAAATCAAATTAACTTATAAGATCCAATGTCAACAGTTGATAAGCATTTTATATTTTCATGCATTATAACCGTAGGTACAAGTTTGTTTCATCAGACATCCATAGCCTTTCAATGCAGTATTTAATTATAAAAAATAATACACTCACATGACTATAACTTACCTAGTTTCTTACTTTCATTAACCAGTTTCAGCAATTTTAGAATTTATTTTCAGTAGATTTTTTTTTAAATTGTTATTCTTTTTTTATTTGCTTACATCATTGTAGTCCCCATAGTTTTCCTACCATCTATTACCTGTGAACCATCACCATAGCCCTTTGTGTTCTTCTTTCCTGTTTTGAACCCCCTTCCTCCCTCTTCCTTGCCATATGCCTCAGGTCTATGATTAGCTTGCTAGTTTTGTCTTTTTCTTGACCTTTTCTTTGATTTCTCTATATTCCACATACAAGTGGAAACATCCGATATTTACCATTTTTCTTCTGACTTATTTTGGCTAGCAGAATTCCTTCTAGTCCCCTTCATATTTTCACTATATTTTTAAAACATCTTTAATCAAAAGTAGTCTCTCAAATTCAAGGCCAACTAGACAGACCACAAAATAATGCCTCCAAACAGATTTATACCACTAGAGATTATAACAAACTAGCCCATGATCACAAAATGTCATATGCTTTCAGAATTTATGCTTTGTGTGTTACATAACATCTTACCTCAATATGCACTGAAATTATTGGATAATCATGGTTTTATTGGACCACAAAGAAGACAATTAATCACTTCCTTTGAAAATATACCTTCTAGAGCTTATGACTCATTCTTTAGAACAGATTCTAATATTGTTTTTCAGAAAATGTTATCCATGAAACCACCTGAGAGTTTGTTAAAAATGCAGATTCCAGACCATTCACCAAATCTATGGAGCTAGAATCTCTGGATCAACTGATGGAAAATCTAATGGGGAGAAACAAGACAGGCTCTGATTTTATTTTGCAATCCCATTCTGAGGGATTGCATGTAAAGAACCAAAATCAAATTTCAGAAGTCCATTAGCATCTATTCTATCTGAAGCAATTTGGTAAATAGTTCCCAAACTCTAGTAACTCAAGTCACTACTTGGATTGTCTCAAATTATCTAGGCAGTTCCCAGATGGAAGGGTACTGAGCCATTTACAAAAGAAATGTTTCCCCAGCAGCTTCTCCAGCTCAATGAACAACAGGCATGCATTGGACTGCACACATATCTCAACCACCTGTGAGAAAACCAGACTCAGATGTCACCGTTCTATTAATTCTTATGGTAGTTTCACTTTCCTGCTGTAAATAACCTTCTAAGAATTACCTTGAAACTCAAAGGTTATTCTCTTTGATAACCTTGTTAGAAATTCATCTGAGAGCATTACTTCAGGCATGTTATAAAGTTGTTTCTAATACTATAACCAGCAAAAACCAATTCTGATGTAATCAGTCTCCCACATCCAAGGATTTGAAATGAAAAGCTGCTGAGGCAGCAACCAAATCTTTCAGCTTAAGAAACACTGCCAAAGGTAATTTGCTCATTGCATTTAGATCCCATGCTGGTCTACAGACATTTAGAAGTCCAATGATTCTGCTGAAAGAGATACTCTGAAATTTCTGATGTTCATTTGATGGTCCTGAATAATATACATACATATTCCATAGTCATTAAACCACACTGTTTATTCACCTGTTTTAGCTATATGAATAAATAATATATGCAGCCATAATTTAAGATGGGCTTTCCACTGGTTTATTTTCAATAAAACTCTTGTATGTATGTGTATGTGTGAGATAATTAGGAAAAAACAACTCTGCTAAAGTTCCAATAAAATTTCACCAAGATGAGAAACATCTTAAAACTTAAGACAACCAAAGTAAATTAGCTATAAATGTAAATAATACTGAAATTAGAAAGGAATTTTTTGAACCAATTGTTAAGTCAATTAGAATGTTCTTTAAATCCACATGGTAGAATTTAAATCCACATAGTAGACTTTAAATACAATGTTCTTTAAATCCACATGGTAGATGATTCAGACTACTGAATCATCCATAGACAATTTCTTCTTATAGTTTCTTTAAAAGTCTTCAATTACTATGATTAGTCTGTCTAAATGACACCTATTTGTTAGTGATGGTTGGTCAGCTTTAGACCACTCAAAAGTTTAGTCAGCTTTAGATCACTCAAGATCCTCAACATTCTATCATCACAAACTGCTATTGTTCGGGTAAATATTGTCACTTTTGGACATCCAATGTAAGGACCAGAGATCAAAAGAAGACAGAAAACACCCAAGTTACTATAGACACAGTACCTTGCACTGTGAGGAACACAGAAGCAGCTGCTGATCCTCCTTCATTGGAAACTACACAATGATACTCTCCAGCATCAGTAAATTTCACACTCCTTAGCTCCAATGAGAGGTTCGCCAAGATCCTCATTCTTGCTGGATCTGCCAGTCTGGTGTCTCTGTCACTTCTGTACCAGGTTAGATTGTAATCTACTGCACTGATAACAAAACATGTCAAAACTGCTCTTTCTCCAGGAGCGACTGTAATGTTATTAGGCACTTGGAGGACTGGAGGGGGCTCTGTGTGAAAGGAAAAAAAAACTCAAGTCAAGAGACACACAGTGATGAGGTTTAAAAATTTAGCGAGGATGTACTGAATATTTATTAGGAAAGATGCAGTACAACAGAACTCATTCATTAATACTTATGTCTTTGACCTCAAGAAATGTATCAATCTAATTCAAAGATGCTTTAAAAACAGGACGCATTTACATAACAAAGTATATACAAATCCAAATCTATAAAGTAGCAGTGTGAGAATCAAAGAAGAATGACCAAAGGGTAGGTTAGATTGATTTAGGATTGTGGAGTGAAGCAAATTTTGATTGAGTTTTGAAGAAAGCATTGAAGTTTTGAAGAAATGTTTTTTTTTTTAATTCGAATACACGTATTTAGTCTTTTATAGAAAAGAGCATACATAAAGTATGGTAGTATGGTAGACACGGCAAAGATATGACAATATTAACTTTAAGGGCAGTTACAGTCTCATTAAGAAGACACAATACAACACAGAAAGATGAATGATCTCCCATTATGGATGAAGAATGTTTTGACATCAGAAGATGGAGTAAACAGTAGGGAAAGACCTTCAATACAGCTTATAAACAGAAAGTCACCTACAGAGAAGGCATCGAGTAATGCATGCATATTTCATGGTCAAAAGTCACTTTCTGATTAAATATTTAACCAACATTTCTAGAGAGAATCACTACTCCTCAGCGTTGAGGGTAAATCTAAGTGCCCCTCTAAGGTCCATTTTGCCCAAATTCTCTTAAATGATCTACACTGAGCAATAATGTGGCAATAAAAACTTTGGTGAGCTATGTTACCAGGACACCCTTGTGTCTGCTTAAGTGTAGACATGAAAAACATCATATTCAAGATCAAATTTTGTCACTCTTTATTTAACACTGCATTAAGTTCAGATAAATGACATAAGCATGGACCCATTATGACAAGACCAGAGTAGTTGTCTCTGAGTAAGAGAAATGTGTGTATTTTCCATATTTCTTCTATATTTATCCCTGTTTTCTAAACACTTTAGAAGTATATGCTACTTTAAATTATTTAAAAAAACAGAATTCTTATCATTAAACTATATTTCTAAAAATTTGCTGCAAAAATAGCTGGTGCATCACATAGAAAGAGTACATGACAAAGTTGGGTAGCTCTGACTTGGGTTTGGCTAATTTTAGATTAAACTCTAGGATACTTTGTTAAATTTGAATTTCTTATAAACATTAAATAATATTTCAGAATGCCTCATGAAATATTTGGAACACACTTATGTGAGATTCAAATTTAACTGGACATCATAAGTTTCCATTTGCTGAATCTGGTCTACTACACAGTCACTCTACTTCTACCCCTACCTAGCTGTGTGACCTTAGATAAAGCCAAGGTATTCACAGTGTTTGCTTTGCTAGCTGAAAAAATGAGATAAAGTCAGGTGATCCTAAAGATACCTTCCATGCTAAGGATCTATGTAATTCTACCATATAAGAGAGTGTAGACCAACAAAAACCAGAAATGATTGTGTGTGTGTTCACACTATCAAATCTTTCTAAAGAACACAAGATATTTTATAGTTTTCCTTTTTAGCTCTCTTAAAACAAATGTCTTCAACTAGATTAGAAATTTTATTTTGGGGGATGGAGTAGAAAACCTAATTTTATTTTTTAAATATGTTTTATTGAGTTAATATTGGTTTACATCATTGTTTCTATAATAGAAGAATAGTATATAATGCTGCAGGCATTGTTGCCATAGCAGGCTCACCAACATAAACCCATAATTTACCATCATAGACCCTGTAGCCACCCTCTTAGACTAGAGATTTTGGGTAAATTTTAGAGAATATAAAATGATGAGCATGTAGGCAATGCTGAGGGAACACTGAGATTCCCCTTAAATACCAAAGCACACATTCCCTAGCAGGTCTTTATCAGCTGCTGAGAGCTGATAGCCAAGGGAGCTAACACTCTCAGGGATAAGCCTGTGTATTTTGCAGTGCAGCACAGAAAATCACTTAATCAGCCATATTTGCCTCAATTTATGGCTATCCCAGTTCCAGAGCACCTGGTGAGATCAGCTGAGGTCCCTGTAGGGACTTCATCACCATTTAACAACTTCTATTTCCTTTATTCCCTTACAGGAGCTTTTACCCTAGAAAATTCCCCAATAGCCTTCTTGCATATAAACTCTGCCTGAGTTTCCATTCCCTTTCAAAAATAAATTTAAATAAGTAAAATGCCAACTTTTTAATAACAAACAGGCACAGATGACATTTGAAACAAGGACATACAATACCATCATTGCATAAATACCTAGAGATAATAAATATTATCCACACTGAAATATTTATGCATGCATAGCTAAATTTGGTGGGGCTGAGGGAGATGATGAGAGAGAATTATGGAAGTTAGAGAAGGAGGCCAAGATTAGAGAAGGAGGCCAAGATTACAAATTACCATAGCCTGGTTTTAGGAATATAAGAGGCATTCCTAAGTGAAGAATGCCTGAGGTGAGGATTAAAGGACAAGAGATGGACCCAAAACTGAGACATGAAGTATGACAAATATAGTTCTTATGGCCATGGAGATCACATATGTAAAGACCACTGAACTGTCTTGGAATTTGCTTTTTCTCACCAACCCATATGATTAAAAATGGGTCACTTGCCTGCTCTGGGTTTCAGATTATATAGCTGTAAAATGATAAGGTGGTAAAAGATTATTTCCAAGTTGCATCCTATTCTAAAAAGACATCTTATAAATATAATTTAAGATTGTCTGTCATTGACAGACCCTTGAAAACTTTCTTTATTCAATGTTTTACCTAAAACAAGAAAAGCCAGTAGAGAAAATTAACATAACTGTACATGTCCTAAACTACCAAATATCTTTTGAAAAGAATTCTTTCCTTCTTCTGCAGTTTTATTCATTAGTTTCTATGTGTTTATATGCAATAAAAGTCACAATATATTTTACATTCACTTTTCATTTAAAATGATCAATAACCAATATTTCCAGTAAGTCCAAAATCCTTAAATACTTCAACTAAAGAAAATGCTGGAAAAAAATTGAAGGAACATATTAATAAAATGTGATCTTTTTTAAAAGATGTTTGTGTATGTCCTATTGCTTGATAAAATAATGTCCACAGTCACACAAGAATATCACTATCTCATGTCTCACTTCCTTACACTCCTGTACAAATGTAAGCTCTTACTCTTTTGTGAATTCACACTTGAGCCAGTGGGCAGGTTACTAATTCCAGCAGTGGGGCCTCCAACCAAGGCTAAGAGATTAAGGGAGCTTCAGAATTTGGTAGACTTTTGAGGCTGGAGGGAAGGTAACAGTTAACCCATAAAGAAATGTCCTCTATTTCAAGTCCAAAAGGGTATTTACTTACTTGTTACTTCTGCTGTTACAGTCATTGACATAACCATCAGTGTCTCTGTCCCCTTCTTTCATAATTGACAATGTGGAATACAATTCCTGAAAACTGGCTTGGGGACAGTGAGACCACTGTTTGGCACAGATTAATTCTAACAGAGCATGTGTAGGGTATACATACAGATGCTACAAAGTGAGTCAAATTCTTAAAGAAAATTTGCAAGTTCTTATTTCCACTTCCCAATTACCTATGCAGATATCCAAATCAACTCACTCAAAACCTCTTTTCCTTAATCAATATTGCTGGGGTGGGGGAACTCAAGTGCTCTCAAGTGTTTGTTTTCCCAGAAGCTGAGGAATGTTGACACTGTTCCAATGCTTTTTATAATTACATGAGATGGAGAAAATGAATAGTTTATGAGGCATGTCAAGTTGCTAAATTGTTTCAGAAGACAAACTTTATTTTTCTAAGAATAAGGGAATACAAATAATTTACTGTAAGGAGAACATGTTTGCATGCCTCTGTTTTAAAGTTCAACTTGGACTTATTGATAGGAAACATAATTCTTGGCTTTTGTTTACCACAGTCCTACAGTTATAAAGATTCTTTTGTCTTAAATTGTCTCAAGAAAATGAACATCAATACTGAATGCAGGTACAGACATTGCTATAAATTCAACAGCCACACTTAGGTCACAATGTGACAAACACACAACTACATTAGTCTGTAAGACAATATTAGCTGAGCATTTACCTACAAGAGGATGGATAACTTTGAGTTCTTAACTGGAAACTATTTTGAACAATATTCCTTCTCCTCTCCTTATTACACACTAATTGCATTAAAATCATTTTCTATTGAAGGTCTTACACACTAGGAAGAAAAATAAATAACTAAGTCAAAACCAAATTTCCTATAAATTCTAGGTATATAAAACGAGTGACTCAAATCCTGATCACTTACAATCTACAGTATTATTTTTTAATTTAATTTCATAATTATTAGAGATTAGAGGAAAAAATTATTTTCCCACTAAAATAATTCTATAACTATTTACAGTTATAAAATGAGTTTAGCCTCCTGTTTATTCACAGGAAGTGTACTATCTAAATGTAAAGTAATTAGAATGTCTTCTCCCATTCTTCATAGCAATATCATAGCCATTGAAGTTCTATGTTTCTAGTTTGATCACTCTTATTACTGTCTTAAATTCATATATCAGAATCCATTCATAAAAGCTCACTGTTCATTATGAATGTAGGAGTAGGAAAGGGAAAGTTCAACGTAGTTATTATTAGAATAAATTTTCTAAAATTTTATCTTCTTTTCTTAAATTTTATTTTTAAATTTTATCTTCTCAATGGGAGATGATATATAACTAAAAATAGCTATTAAGTCTCTTCTATAGTGATAACGATAAAGAGAAGAACAACAGTAATAACAGCTAATGTCTATAAAGCATTTGTGTGTACCAGGCTCTCCTCTAAATGCTTTATATATACTGTCTCATTTGATATTCACAGCTACTCCATGCAATAGAGACTTATTTTCCTCATTTTACAGTTAGGGAAACAGGGAAACAAAGACACTGAGTTCTAAAAAATTGGCCTACGGAAGGTCAAACAGCTAAAATGTAATGAAGCCAAGATTAGTAAACAGCCTACTTCTTCCATAGCTGCATAAATTCCCAGGCAATTGATAACTACCTGACACGTCAAAAAAAGTCTGTGCCCGGCCAGTGCCTGCATTGCTGACAGCGATGCATTCGTAGAGGCCTTCATCCGACAGAGTGACCTTTTCGATGTCCCAGCTCACACTGCCAGATTCTCTGGAGGAAGAAAATACAAGTGCTTTCAGATACTGTAAATTCAAGACCAAAGGGAAAGCAGTGATCCCACCGCTTATATATTTTTTTTTGAAGCATTCATTTTAAAAAATGTAAAAAAAAAAAATTGATTACTACAGAGTTCTTTATAGCTTGAAATTACACATTTTTGATTTTTTAGATTACAAAATTAAGCTTTCTACTCAGAGTGAAAAACACAAAAAAGACACTAAGTTAAACAGATTTTAAATTTTTCAAGAGACATTTTCTGGGTATGTCAAAATAAAAAGAGCCAACAGACAAACATTCATTAAATCCTCTCTGTCCCCTTCTCTATCATTCCCAGTTTTTTGGTAATGTTAAGCAGGGTTTTTAACCTGGTTTTAAACTAGAAAATTCACAAGTCTGATGGTATAAAATAGATTATTTTTAATTCCAAAAAGGCAAATTCTCTGTCACATTCTTATATACAAGGCCCGCATGAAGGCTACCTACCATATTTACCATATCTGCTTCAGTCTGTCAGTATTTTTCTTTGAAAAAATGTTTTATTTCTGGGCCTCCCAGGTGGCACAAGGGGTTAGGATGCAACGTATGAAGCTATCCGCAGCCACTGCAGCATGAGTTTGATCCCCAGCCAAGGAGCTACCCACATGGTGCAGCAGACCTCTTCTGACTCGCTCACTGCCATCCTCAGCAGAGTATTTCAGTCAATCTGCCTGTTCTGTTCCCCACTCTGTCTCTGGTGAATCCTCTCACCCCCCACATCTCTGGCCTGTACCCCAGTTCTTGTATACATAAATAAATAAATCTTTAAAAAAATGTTTTATTTCAGTAACCTTGGTTTACATCATTGTTTGTGTTATAGTCAGTTATCATCTACATAAAAAAACTTTGCGATATTACACATTCATTCATTTAAAAAATATACTTTGTAAGGACAAATTATTTCAGCATTCAAATTATTTCTCATTTTCTGGAAATGTTTTAGCACTAGATATTTAATTTAATATTCAATAATTTAAAAGCCACACTTGTATGGACAACTGATCTTTGACAAAGGAGCAAAGAATATGCAATGGAATATGGACAGTTTGTTCAAAAAATGGTGCTGGGGGCCTCCCCGGTGGCACAGCGGTTGAGCGCTGGGTTGTGAAGCTGCCCGCAGCCTCTGTAGCGCTGGTTAGATCCCAGCTGCTCCCCAGCCACCGGAGGAGGGTCCCACATGGCGCACAGACCTCTCCTGCCGCCTGCTGCTTCCCTTAGCAGTGTACTTCGTCAGTCCGCTTGCTCTGCTCTCTGCTCTAACTCTTGTGAATTCTCTCACCCTCCTGCGCTTCTGACTGTACCCAGTGCTTGTATAAATAAATCTTTTTAAAAAATTAAAAAAAAATAAAAAATAAGTGGTGCTGGGAAAACTGGACAACCACATGCAAAAAATTGAAACTAGACCACTACCTCTCACCATGCACAAAAATCAACTCAAAATGGATAAAAGAACTGGACATAAGACCTGAAACCATAAAATATATAGAAGAAAATATAGGTAAAACACCACAAGACATACATCTCAAAAACATATCTAGACTCATCACTCAAAGCAAAGAAAATCAAGGAAAAGATAAACACCTGGGATTACATCAAACTAAAAAGCTTCTATACAGCAAAAGAGACATTAACCAAAACAAAGAGACACCCCACTGATTGGAAAAAAATGTTTGCACTTCATCCAATTGATAAGGGACTGATCACAAAAATATACAAAGAATTCACACAGCTCAACAAAAACAAAGTTAACAATCCAGTCAGAAATGGGCAGAAGAACTCAAAAGACATTTCTCCAAAAAGGAAATGCAAATGATCAACAGGCATATGAAAAAAATTTCAACATCCCTTATCATCAGGGAAATGCAAATCAAAACCACATTGAGATACCACCTTATACCAGTAAGAATGGCACATATCAAAAAAACAAGCCACAACAAATGTTGGTGAGGATGTGGTGAAAAAGGAACTCTCCTACATTGCTGGTGGGAGCGCAAACTGGTCCAACCACTATGAAAAGCTGTCTGGAGGTTCCTCAGTCTACTAAAAATGGAGCTACCACATGACCCAGCAATTCCACACCTAGGGATTTACTCAAAGGACATAAACACATTGATTCAAAAGAATACCTGTACCCCTATGTTTATTGCAGCACTATTTACAATAGGTAAAAATTGGAAACAACCCAAATGCCTAAAAATAGATGACTGGATCAAGAAGATGTGGTCTATATACACAATGGAATATTATTCAGCAATCAAAACCTATAAACTCATGCCATTCACAGCAAGGTAGATGGAGCTAGAAGGAATTATGCTCAGTGAAATAAGCCAGAAGGAAAAAGAAAAGTATCGGATGGCTTCAATTATAACAGGAATATAAAGGAACCAAATAAGACATCAGAGGAAAAAAAATAATACAAACAAAACAAAAACAAACAGAAAATTATAAACTAGAGACATCCTGCAGGGGAGGGGGAGGGAGAAACCTCAGAGGGAGGGAGGGAGGAGCACAGGGGGCTGTGGTGATGGTGCACTGGTGCATTGGTGAAGGAAACTCTATGGGGACTACACCTGAGGGAGGGGGGAAGCAAATATTGTTTAAAAATGAACAATGATGTAAAAAAATAATTAAAAAAGAAAAAGAAAATAAATAAATATAGTAACATAACTAGTTACATAAATCTAAACATAAAAAATCAAATATGACATGTAATTGTTTAAAAAAATATTCAATCATGGGCCTCCCTGGTGGAGCAGCGGTTGAGCGCTGGGTTGCGAAGCTGCCCGCAGCCTCTGCAACGCCGGTTCGATCCCGGCTGCTCCCCGGCCACTGGAGGATGGTCCCGCATGGTGCGCAGACCTCTCCTGCCACCCGCTGCTCCCCTCAGCAGTGTACTTCGTCAGTCTGCCTGCTCTGCTCCCCGCTCTGGCCCTGGTGATTTCTCTCACCCTCCCGTGCTTCTAACTATACCCAGTGCTTGTATAAATAAATAAATAAATCTTTTTTTTTAAAAAAAAGCAGTAATACTTTTTTTTTTTTTTTTATGATTCCTCTAGAGTGCTTCTCTGCAACTCTTTTTTTTTTTATCTTAAATTTTATTTTTATATTCCCCCATACAATTGAAAACGCCCCATTCTGACCCCAATCCTTCCCTCCCGCCCCCCACCCCCAAAAAGTGTCTCTGGTTCATAGTTTTTTGTTGATTTTGATTTTCACTTTCTTATATTCATTTTCCTGGTCCCTTATTTAAGTTTTCTAGATTCCTGCTATGAGTGAGACCATCCGGTATTTTTTTTTTCTTTCTGGCTTATTTCGCTGAGCATGATCCCTTCCAGCGCCATCCATGTTGCTGCAAATTGCATGTGTTTATCTTTTTTGAATGCTGAGTAATATTCCATGGTATATATGTACCATATCTTCTTGATCCAGTCATCTACTTTTGGGCATTTGGGCTGTTTCCAAAGCTTAGCTATTGTAAACAGTGCTGCTATAAACATAGGGGTGCAGGTGCTCTTTGGAATTGATGTTTCTGTGTCCTTTGGGTAAATACCTAGGAGTGGAATTGCTGGATCATATGGAAGCTCTATGTTTAGTAGGTCCAGAAATCTCCACACAGCTCTCCATAGTGGTTGGACCAGTTTGCACTCCCACCAACAGTGCAGAAGAGTTCCTTTTTCTCCACACCCTCGCCAACATTTGTTGTTGCTAGTTTTTTTTAATATGTGCCATTCTCACTGGTGTGAGATGGTATCTCATGGTAGTTTTGATTTGCATTTCCCTGATTACAAGTGATGTTGAACATTTTTTCATATGCCTGTTGGCCATTTGCATTTCCTCTTCAGAGAAGTTTCTTTTTAGCTCTTCTGCCCATTTTTTGACTGGATTATTTTCTTTGTTGTTGCTGAGTCTCATCAGCTCTTTGCAGATTTTTGTGATCAGTCCTTTATCATTAGTGTTGGGTGCAAAAATGTTCTCCCAGTTGGTGGGGTTTCTCTTTGTTTTTGTTATTGTCTCTTTTGCTGTGCAGAAGCTCTTTAATTTGATGTAGTCCCAGCTGTTTATCTTTCTCTTCACTATCACTGCTTTGGGTGATGTGTCTGTAAAGATGTCTTTGATGTGCAAATCCCGTAGTGTTTCGCCTATATTTCCTTCTATGTATTTTATGGTTTCAGGTCTTATGTCTAGTTCTTTAATCCATTTTGAGTTGATTTTTGTGTATGGTGTGAGGTAGTGGTCAAGCTTCATTCTTTTGCATGTAGCGACCCAGTTTTCCCAGCACCATTTATTGAACAAACTTTCTTTGCTCCAATGCATAGTCTTTGCTCCTTTGTCAAAGATTAGTTGACCATAAATCTGTGGGTTTATTTCTGGATTTTCTTTTTTTTTTTTTTTTTTACTGGTTTATAAAGCACTTTTATTTTACACTAATGTCCTTCATGTCAACTTAGTCATAACTAAGTTCTGACTCTTAGTTATTTCTTTTTTTTTTTTTTTTTTATAATTTTATTGTTATATTCCCATACAATTGCAGCCCCCCATTCTGACCCCAATCCCTCCCCTCCCCCCCCTAAAAGTGTCTCTGGTTCATAGTTTTTTGTTGATTTTGATTTTCACTTTCTTATAGTTATTCATTTTCCTGGTCCCTTATTTAAGTTTTCTAGATTCCTGCTATGAGTGAGACCATTCGGTATTTTTCTTTTTCTTTTTGGCTTATTTCGCTGAGCATGATCCCTTCCAGCGCCATCCATGTTGCAGCAAATTGCATGTGTTTATCTTTTTTGAATGCTGAGTAATATTCCATGGTATATATGTACCACATCTTCTTGATCCAGTCATCTATTTTTGGGCATTTGGGTTGTTTCCAAAGCTTAGCTATTGTAAACAGTGCTGCTATAAACATAGGGGTGCAGGTGTTCTTTGGAATTGATGTTTCTGTGTCCTTTGGGTAAATACCT